TTACGTTTTAATCGGCCATTTTTAAATAAAATCACGATTTCTTAAAAGATAGCCACATAATTCATCTTTAAGATGAGCCCAGAAAGAAGTCTATATCTTTATTTTTCTGGAAGATATGAATTTTTAACATTGGGGAACGGCAATTTTAAGATAGGATTGGGGATAAGAGGCTTCAACGCAGGTAACACGGCAATTTTAAGATAGGATTGTATGAAATTTTTAACAAGTCAAAATTAAATTACTGCTACACAAAATTATCTATCTATATATTAAATTATTGATATACCGATTTATCAAACTTATTCTTTTTTTATATACATAGATATATATAAATATTTAATAATAGTAAAAATAATTTTTTCTTTCACAGTTATGGTACCCGTTTCATCCACGGTAATCCCATTGCCCGTGTACAAAGTAGGCTATGGTTTAGGCTTCGTATCAAAGGATAAGAAGACCCAATCGTCATTTAAACCGGAAGGTGGCATAAAATTGATTACGAGTAAGTGCAGCTTAAATATTATATTACGAAATTTTCTTTTCGCGATAAATTCTCCTTTTCGTAACTTTCTCTTTTCATATCAGCGATGATATAATCGTGATGCGGATAACAATTAGCCAGTATGTATAACCTGAATTGTAAAATATCTTACTGTAAATGTTACAGGAATAGCGCGCACATAGTTGCACGAAAACTAGTTCTTTTATATAATTCATGTAAGCGATTTTCAACATTACCATTATAATGTTGTTTTCTTTTTCTAGTCAACAAGGTCCAAGAAAAGAAGATTTAAATACAAAATATAAATGTTCTAAATTATGTGAAATAATATTTGTCGCGGAGGCGCACATCTTCGAAGAGAACAGAATTAGAAACTTGTGCGTTGTACTCGTACTATTGTATCACATCATCTTTTCTGCAAGTATGCACTTGTTTTTGTTAAGTTAAGCTAATTAAGAAGCTCGACACCAAAAAATGTACTTCTATAAATGTTAGTTAATTATTTATATGATGGAAACTAAAATTTGTCTTTAAGATATCAAATAAAAAGTAGAGTTACATATCGTATGTACGAAGTTTTTTACTTTTATATATATCTACTTTACTAATTACGGTCTAAGATGTTTAAATGTTTATTTAAAAGATAAAGGATAATGCGAAACATTTATTTTTTATAAATCTGATGTTAATATGTAATTAACTTAACATATTTGCGATAAGTATCATAATAATGAGAGAAGAATACAAGAATCTCAACTATTTTTACATAAAAAAAAATTTTATTATAACTGAGTTTTGTAACTTATAATTTAATAAAAAAAAGTTTAATTTCTTGTATTTCTGTAATGAATTATGAAGAAACATCCATGTTATCCTCAGCTGAAGCAGCTAAAACAATTAATTATTTAAATTTTAGCCACGTATAAACCACATATAAATTATATAAATATAAAAACTATGACTTACAAAATTCGTTGAACATAAAATCATCTTGATATTCCTTGAGAAATTGCGTAGATCTATTTTCATCGAGAAATAGAGAGTAGACACGTTTCACATCCTCGATACTGACCTAAACACAATTTAAAACATTACAATAGTATCAAACGCATTTATGCAATAGATCGTATCGCTTGTCCCACTTACTTCTGTAGTTTTTCTTCGACGACTAACAAGAGAAGCCGTCGTAATTAACTGTATCGCGTATCTCAGCGACGTTTCCAAAGCAATCCTAGTCAGCACGGTCAGAGCATCATCGGCCATTTCGCAGTCTTCTTCCTCACATCTTATTTTCAAAATTTCCTTCAACTCCTTTTCTTGGTATGGACTCGTTGGAACGATAATCATACGATCCAATAAATCAATTGGAATGCCATGAGGGCTCTTGTAATTAGTCCCTCTAATTCTTGTGATACCTAAAATTAGTAATTGTAGATTGTTAAATAGAAGTTAATCAGCAGCAATATCAATATAGTAGAAAATTCGCGAATTTGTACCTCTATTTGTTGCCATAATTACAACTGGAGCCATTTCATTTTCCAATGCTCGATTTAGAAATGAGAAACATTCGATATCCAACATATGTACTTCATCGATAAAAAGTACACCTGGAACTATTTCTGCCTTGCCTTCTTCCCGCCATTCCGCAACTTTAGCGTTTATTTGATCTCGTACTTCCGATTTTATCTCTCCAGTATCTCCGGAAAATAGTGCCAAAAATCCATGCGTTCTACTGTTTATCACATCAACTTCATGCAATGTCACGGTGTGCACGACTTCCTTGCGTTTCTGCAATTCGCCTTCTGGACACTGTACAAAACGTGTTTGCGAGCCTGTCGCATCGTAATCTCGAGCTCTGGTGAAGGACCGTCCAAGTCTATTGATCTTTCCCGTGGCTTTGTCAATCGTTATAACATCACCAGCTTGTACCTAAAAATGATACATAATCGTAATTCAAAGTCAAACACAGATAATGTAATCTATTTAATATATAAATATACTAACTTTTTCTTTCATTAAGCAATCAATCATTTTATTCCCTAAATCATAAATTGTTTCCATCTCAGTTGTTTTTAATGTCAATTTGCCGACTTTCACTCCAATTCCAGTTGCCGGCCTGTCAACTTGAATCTCTACTACTTCACCCTCTATTATCTCTGTCTCTTCTTTAATTCTGACTCCGATAGACTTCCTGATAGCCTGAGTCAAGGCCTCTGTTTTACTCATTTCTAAAGAATAAATTTCAGAACCAGCCATTGATGTGAAAGGAGTATCCGCACCCAAAGCTTGTGCCATTCCCATAGCAATGGCAGTTTTTCCTGTGCCAGGTTGTCCAGCCAATAAAATAGCACGACCTGCTATTTTGCTCTCCTTAATCATCTCCAGGATAACGCCGGCAGCTCGACGTGCCATGAGCTGCCCAACCATACCTTGGGAAACCTAATATAGTAACAAATTTTTATTTTTATCATATCGTTTATAGTTAATAAATTTATTAATTCTACAAAAAAAATGCATAATATTCACATTGCGGGGCTCTAGACTATCATTCAATCCTAAACCTCTAATATGGGAATGAGCACCAATACGCTCTATCTTGGTGATCTCACGAACTTCTTGGACATTAGTAACAACCTGAAATAAAAAATAATAATTAGACGCACAATGGGTGTTTTAATATCTGTATATTGCAATTCATAAATATTTGGAATAGATCAAACATTTGGTTGCTATGCCAACTGATGTAAGGCACAAAATTATATTAAATATTTATACTTTCTCTTATAAAAGTAATAAGATGCTTTTATAAAAAAATAATTATATACAAACGGTATACATGCATAATGCAAAAAACATATGAACAAACCTATATATATATATATATAATTTTAAGAAAGGTATAGGTTAATCGCGGCGTCATAGATAAAAGTAAATGGTTTTTGATGTAATAACATCATAGAGTTATAAGAGAAAATTATTTTAAATTTAGACAAATATATTTGACAAATATAATTAAATAAAAAATCTTACCGCCATGCTTAATAATAATATTGTTTCTCAAACCACGCAAAATGTGCTGAAACCGTTGAATTTCTGACTCTTCTTCTTTTACTATGCCCTATGGCGTCCGCTCCCACGAGGAGCTATACAGCCTGATACCAACAGCGCAGATGTAAGTCACTAGGAGAGGTTATATAGTGATTTGTAGGAACTTCAGATATAGCTGCGTTCGCAAACGTCACTCGACTGCTCCGAGAGTGACGTCACCCTTAGGCCCGGAGTATAAGAAGAGTAGACCAATGAGAATCTTATATGTAAATCAGTATGGCGACTTTATGCTGGCTGCTCATTGGTCCAGCGGTCTTATGTTTAGTTTATGCTTTATATCATATATTTCATGTGTTCCCGGCTCAAGACAAAAGCAATAAAAAAATTGGTAAGGATGAATTAATTAATTTGTATGCTGATTGAATTTTGTTTGTGATTAACAGGTGATTAATGACGTAATCAAAAATTTGTATAGGTTCTTCGTAATCGAAACCGTAAAGGCGGAAGTCATGCCGGCGGAAGTAGCGGCTACGGCCAAAGCGGATGTCATCGCCCAAGAGAGAGTAATGGCGTCCGCATCGAGCGCACGGTGTTCTCGCGGTTTGTCTGTTACGCCAGGAATTGAACGTTGAAGTGATTGGCTCGGCCTCATCTCTCGTCGTTTTCATCGAGAGCACTCTCCGTAGTCTAAGCTCGACCGTGTTTATCTGCAAACGAAGCTTGCAAATATCTCGACACAAAACGATAACGAGGATCCGTGAAAGCGTGGCGGCTGAACTGCTGGTGGTTGTGTATGTTCTTCTGCACGTCATCAATGGAAAGAACACGACTTTAAGTTTCGAAACGTTTCTTGACTCGATGCGGTAATTCCGATTGTCGATTCCACCTGATCGATGATGAACTGAGAATTTTTGGAATCGCACGTTTCATCCTACACCGTTGTACCTGTCCTGTGCTACATGGAGTAACGTGACGTGTACATATCATTTTCGTCTCTCCTCGATCATGTCTTGCTCGATTCGTGGAATTAATTATTCCATTTATAATTACGATTGAAAAAACTATATATTCTATCAATAAGAATTTAATTTTTATAATTGAGTCAATACATAACTTATTAGAAGAATGCTGATGTAGATTCTTCTCGAAAGCATCTTTTTCCACAGAAATCATATACATACAACTATAAATGAAAATTAAGCTACCGGAATGGCTTTAATCAATAGTAAAATAAATTAATGAATGCAATGTGTACGATTATATGAATATTGTTTAATAACCTTCCAATTAATTGTTAATTTAATTATTTTATCAGATACTTATAGTTTAAATAGAATTGATTGTTGAGAAATAAATTGAATTGTTAACCAATGATTTTATTTATTATACTTTAAAAGGAAATTAAGAATTTTTTAATAATATGATATAATTAATATCATAAATAAATTTAATTTCTTGTTTGGCTTAACATCCTCTTAATATCCTCTTAAACTTTTTTAGTATTACAGTTTATTTTATATAAAGATTAATATTTTTTACAGGGTCCTTTACCAGAATGGATTCGACTGATCATAGGGCTGTTACTGTCATGAAATATATCTGACCCTTGTTGTCCATTTAAGTTGGACAACGTTTAATTCAAATTAATTATCTATTTATATTCTCTTATAATGTCTGCAAATACTCAATTTGCGAATCCGCCGCCAGCTGTAAGCTTACCTAACATGTCTGTGCCACCACCCACGACTCCAAATTTGTCGGCACCACCACCAAATTTAACCACTATAAACACCTCGGGAAGTTATCAGCATCGATATGCAAACCATAGAGAGAGCAATCGCGGTTTCTTCAAACCATTTAGACCTTATCACGCTCCAAAAATTGTCGCTGGAGGACAGGATACTCTGCAAGATGAATTTGATGGCAAGAGGCTTAGGAAATCCGTTATGCGAAAGACTGTCGATTATAACTCCGCCATCATTAAAAGCTTAGAAGTAAGTAACAAATCTCATTGGAGATTTATTAAAATAATGTTGTCCGAGATTGTATCCAAATTTTTGAATTTTACAGAATCGAGTATGGCAGCGGGACTATAGGGATCGTCGCGCACTTCAGCCAGATGTAATATATTATCCCGATTTACTCCCTCCACCAAGTTATATTGACAATCCAATAAATGCAGTTACCACGAGGTTCGTAAAAACGGCTACCAATAAAATGCGTTGTCCGATTTTTTGTATGGCTTGGACACCCGAAGGTAGGCGTCTCGTCACTGGCGCTTCGAGTGGAGAATTCACTTTGTGGAATGGCCTTACTTTCAATTTCGAAACTATTCTGCAGGTATATTTTGTGTTATATATATGTAATTTATAGAATTAATATCTAACTTGAATTGGGTTTATGGCTCAAAGGCAATTGAAAAGCAATGATTCTTCTTTGTATATATAAAACAATTTTGAACCTTATTTTGTCACATCAAGATATTCCGAGAGATAGAAACTTTACGATTGTAATTGCATATTTTAGCTCTAAATATCTTACAAGTGTCTTAAAATGTAGAAATTATTTTGTAAAGGATAATTTATTTTTATATTTTCTTATATTTATTTTTATTATTGTATACTGTAACACTTATGACTTTAAGAAAAAGCTCTGACGTGAGAAATTAATGCATCTGTTTAGGCACATGACAGCCCGGTCAGGACAATGGTGTGGTCACACAATGAAAGCTGGATGGTAACAGGGGACCACGCGGGCTACGTAAAATATTGGCAGAGCAACATGAACAATGTGAAGATGTTTCAAGCGCACAAAGAAGCGATTAGAGGACTCAGGTATATCATCCACCACACTAGTCCTTACGTCTCTTGCGTCACTGTTGCCGATGATCGGTCCATCCTTGCCGTAGTTAGGATATCGGACGTGACTCTTCTTCTCTTCCTTTTCTGGTTTTGTGCCGCTTCTGGCAAAGCAATAGTGATTCTTGTATGGGTACACAGGTGATTTTAACAAGTTTCAATATAAAACATCAGAAAGAGTATAATCCGCCATAAAGCATGGAATGAACCGTGTTCGTGAAAAACGCTGATCGTTAAATGTCTCGGTCAAATTCTTTAAAAAATTTTGATATCTTTTGCCGAATTATTAAAAGATTTTCGGAAAAAAATGGAATAGCTTCTAATTATGTAAAATATTTTCAACATATTGTGGAGGGCGGGGGGAGGGGGGCAAAATATTTTTAAAGCAATAAATTTAAAAATAAATTCAATAAAATTTGCAAAACTATAATATATATTTTTATCGCATTTTTATTCGCGATGTAGAAATCAATACACAAGGACAGTGTAAATTTTTTGCGTACATTATATGCGCGTATTGACATAATTTATGATTTGTACTTAAAGAGTCCTAGGGACCTAACTCTCAATCAACTAACTATTCCGTATAGTATCGATAATGCGCTCATCACACGTCAAAGTGGCACAAATTTTAATTAAGTTATAATACTATTAGGTCCTTATGGCTCTCGTTTTAAGCTGTTTATGTGGCTAGATTATTTATTCGGCAAAGAGATGTATGCTTTAGATAAATAAAAGAGAAAAAAATATATATATATATATATGGCAATACCTAGTCGAGATTCCCATATAATGATAAATAAAAGATGGAATATCCTGTGTCCTTCTTTATATTGTTTAAGTTTCAATAAAGTTAAATAAAGATATTATTGTTGCATGGCTATGAAAATAAAATATTTTATCTTTAGTTTTATGTGTCACTTGTGCCCTTTCGCAGACGAGAGAGAGAGCGAGAGAGAGAGAGAGAGAGAGAGAGAGCGTAACAGACAAATATAAGGCATAATTCATGTACACTTCGGACATTTTTTTGTGCAATAAACGTTAAATTTTGAAAAAAGATTGCTCTTAATACATCACTCGGTGGTCATGTGGCATCAAAAATCAATCTTAGTTTTACCAAGATGAAACTCTTTCATTACTTGACAAATGGGATTTTATTTGAGTGCCAGATATGACTGTCGCGGATGGTTTTTTGTTTATTTACAATACATATTTATACATATAAAGATTCCTTTTTTATTACTGATCTCTGTCTACTCCTCACAATGATGTATTCGTAAGATTCGGCTATGTGTTCTCTACTACGTTTGTTTCGTCTCAAATTAAAATTCGAGAATATACTATACTTATGTGTGCACTGCTCTGTGTACAGGTTTGCTTGCATTTCTTTCCTGTCTTTTCGCGCGTATATCGCTTTCAATATCAACAATAAACACAAGGAGAATCATCAAAGGAAAGTTACAAACTAATATAAAATGGCAATTTAATGTGCATTTTCTATTATAATTTACATGTACTCAACTACATTTTTTATCGTGATTTGAAATATATTACGCTGAACAAAAATAAATAAATCGACCCAGTTAGAGCATATTAGAAAAGATTTTTTTTTTAACGCCTGTATAGCCATAATTTAAAGAACTTTTAAAGAAATCCACAAAGAAATTGTCGATGATTTGATTTTGTTTTTTCACATATGCATACATGTATCAACATTGCATGCGATAATTCTAATATATATAATGAGGAATCAGTAATAAATGTAGGCAATTGTATGCTTAACTCGATGTTAAAGATTAGCGAGTAACAATGTCCGTAAGGTGTATCATGTTTTTCATACCATTTCTCTTCATAATATATGATAACTGTTTTACTACTCTTTCTTATTAGACTTTTTTTTGCTTTGCTATAACAAAATGATTTAATTTTTTTGTAAAAGGAATTTTAATAAAAATTCGTAAAGACAGTAATTGTATTTATTTTCTTAGTCATTTCATGATATTAAACTATTGTTTGATTTCTTACTTTTTAAACTGATTATATATGTATATCAATTTTCAGTACGTCGCAATGTAATATTATAATAAACGGTTAATATTTTTTTAGTATTCTGTAAATCGTCTAATAAACTGCTCAAGCTTCTTTATGATTTTATGATTATCTTATGATTTTTCATTCTGGATATGATATTGGCAAATATTAATACAATTTTTTATTACATATGACAACGTTGTTCAAATGTAACTTGATTTTTTTTTTGAATGGGTAGTTTCAGTCCAACGGATCACAAGTTGGCAACTTGCAGTGACGACGGAACTGTTAGAATTTGGGACTTTCTTCGCTGTCACGAGGAACGAATTCTCAGGGGTATATACATTTTTTATTTCATTTATTAATGTTATATAAAATTTATTGTTTTCTTTATCTATTTATTCTATCATTGAAATAGTTAATTTTGACATATATATATTTTTCACTCTTTATAAATTATATGTTTATATTTATTAGGTATATTTCTATTCTTGTTTATATATAATATTATATATATATATATATATATATATATGATATATTCGGTTTAAAAAAAAAATTTATTTTATCATTAAAAACAAGTGATAATAATACTTATATAGTGATAGTAATACTTATTTTTTACAATTTTTTACGTTATTCTATTTTATGCTGTCTTTATCAAATAAGAAATTACATACATTACATATTGGACACAGTATTTTATAATATTCTTTCTACAGGTCATGGCGCGGATGTCAAGTGCGTGCATTGGCATCCACAAAAGAGTCTAGTCATTTCTGGTAGTAAAGACAATCAGCAACCAGTGAAACTTTGGGATCCGAAGACTGGACAATCTCTGGCAACTCTGCATGCACATAAGTCGACCGTGATGGATGTCAAGTGGAATGAAAACGGTAATTGGTTGGTAACCGCATCAAGAGATCATCTCTTAAAACTTTTCGACCTCAGGAATCTTAGTCAAGAAGTTCAGACTTTCCGTGGCCATAAAAAGGAGGCGTCTAGCGTCGCGTGGCATCCAAGCCACGAAGGTCTCTTTTGTAGTGGTGGTAGCGACGGCGCCATACTCTTCTGGCATGTTGGGTACATATTATTGTTTTCGTTTGTGATTTTGCCTCTGATTCTACTTATATGACTGCTGTTTTTCTTAATATTGAATTGACTACATTTGTAGTTAATCTGTTTTATCTTGAATTTCAGAGCGGATAAGGAAGTGGGAGCGATAGAACAAGCGCACGATAGCATAGTTTGGACATTAGCTTGGCATCCATTGGGACATATCTTGTGTTCTGGTAGCAATGATCACACCTCTAAGTTTTGGACGCGTAACAGACCGGGAGATCTGATGAGAGACAAGTACAATCTCAATACATTACCGGCAGGTTCGGCCGGTATTGATGATCACGAAATTGGTATTGAACATTTTCATAAAATTATTTTAACAACGTGATATAAAAATTTAATATAATTATTCTTTACTCTAAACAATATCTTATTTCGTTTCATTTTCCTTAGCTGATGAAGCAGCGGTAATACCTGGTATGGGACCAGAGGATAGAATCAACGCAGATTGTGAATCCGAGGATAAAAACGGCGGAATCCCGGGCCTGGATTTAGATCATGCAGTGGATGAGGGCAAGAAATTCGCCAACAAGAAAGTTCCATACAGTAAACCAATACCGCGAAATTTCCAAGCACAGTGGAACGAAATGGAAGCCGAGGATATTGAGCAAGTCGAAGCACTTAATGCGTTCGTCAATCAATTAATAGAGACAACGCCAGGTGCCGTGCCACTAAATGAAGTTACGCCCAACGCCATTATATTATACGGGAAAATGATTCCAGTGGAAGGTAAGTGGCAGTTATATTTTAGTGAAATGTAATCCAATATAAGTCTTAAGGAGTCTCACATCGGTCTTAGTTTAAAAAAAATGTGCAATTAGATATTAAACTCAATCGTATTTTTTAGCTGGCACCAAACTGGCAGAGGCAATCAGTAAAGGAACTGATGCTATAAACAAATTAGTATTCTCTGGTGAAATAGAAGAATTACGGGATGTGGTAGGTCCACCGGACAACGTAGACGAGGCCGAAGAGTTTTTGCAGGACGACGGCGAGATTGATTATTCTAAAGTGCCCGACATAGATTTACCGCCACCTTTGCCTAGCTCGAAATTCGCACAGAATCCGGAGCTGTTGAAAACGCTGAATCGCGGCGGTAAGCGCAAGTTCGATCAGCTGATCGGCTGGAGCGATGGTGGAGCAAGCGATCGTATCTCGAAAATGCACCAACCGGTCTTCGGTGGCGTGATTACGGAGGACTCGCAGTCCAGCGACACTGATTTGAGATTCGGCATTGGCAAGTCGAATCCTCTCGCGGAGAGCAATTCCTTCCACAGCGGTCAGGATGAAGATCATAGAAGAGGCGGTTTTCATCTTGATCTAACGAGAAGTGGCAATCGCGGCGATGAGGATCTCAGGTTCAACATATCCGCCGGTCCTGGCAGACCCGGTTCACGCAACGAGTACGATTTGCGTGGCAACAATTTCGCGGACAAGGATTTTCGCAACATCAGCAATTTCCTGTCGTCCAAGTCTTTGGACGATGATGACGACGACGATGATGATTACGACGAACGGGAACATGATAATGCTGGCGGTCGTTGGGACGACGAGAAGGCCGATGGATCGCGCAGCAAACTGCTGGACAGCGCATTCGCCGGCAACAGTTTCGATAAACGCGACAACGGCATAGCAATGGGCATGGGTAACAGTATGCATGGTCATATGGCTGGCATGCCCCATCTGCCAAATCATCATAATATGCAAAACATTAATCCCAACATGCCACCACCGATACCGAGCCTAGTGCCGCATCCCAACATGCCACAGCATCCTGGCATGCAGGGTAAACCGCCGCATCCTGGTATGCCCGGTATAGACGGCCCGATGCCACCACATATGATGCCGCATCATCCAAACATGCATCCGGGCTTTGGGCCCAATGGGCCGCCGCCCGGTGGTTTCGGGCCCAATTTTCGACCGCCGCCCAATGGTAATTTCGGCCCGAATCACTTTAGACCGAGTCCGATGTTGCCATTCGGACCGAATCAGGGCCCGCCGCCATTCGGCAATAGTTTTCAAGGACCGCCCAACTTCCGCGGTCCAAACGTCGCCCCGATGAACTTTGATCGACCAGGTTTCGGACCCAATTTCCGTGGCCAAAATCCACAAGGTCAATTGAACAATTTTAATTCCAACTTTGGCAACTTTGGCAAAAACGGACCCAATCGCGGCATGAGTCGTGGCGGTAACGACAGTATGGGCAGGAGCGGCTTTAGTAATCGCGGCAGAGGACGTGATAACGATCAATCGAGGGGAGGAAGGGGAAGAGACAATTATTGAAAAGATTTCTCAGAACAATGATGTGCGTGATTATCGACAATGTTCTTATGCCTCGGTCTTGCATGAACTGTTCAGTGGAACTTGGGCTGTATGAGATAATGTGCCGGCGTCCTCGAATAATCGATCGTAAACTCTCTTACATGAGGCATGAAAATACCTTGTATTCATGCGATATATATATCGTGAAAAAATATGAATATATTTTCTCTTTTTTTTTTTACGATTCGCCTAATGAGCTAAAGATCGGGCACTCTAGATTTACACGGGTCGATTGTAAAGAGGGTAATTAATTAAACTTTCTTTAAGAGAGAAAGAATTAAGAACGAATCGCTAATTCAGATTTGGATTTATTCTGGATTGAGTTGACTTGTGGTGCAGTATGCCAACAGTTTTTTTTTTTTTGAGATAGACAAAATTGTAATATAATGTATTAGGGATCGACAACACGAATATTATTCCGATAGAAACTGTTCACAAGCTGCCTTGCGAGGAAATTCTTGTTCCATATGTGTCGACAAATGCGCGTTAATTACGTCGGATGACGCATAATCTCGGAAGAGATTAAGCATGAATGTATGGATTGACTTTGTGTCCGCTGTTTGTCGTCCGAAGGATGTGAGAGTGCCGCGGAACAGTCTATCTATTATTAATAAAACGGAATAACATAAAACATCCTTCGTTTCTGCCCTATTTTCGCATGTATAATACTATACATTAAACGCAATAACGAACTCAATTGGGATAACCATGACATAAAGGAAAAAAAAGCATTTTTCAACGGTTTAAAAAGGTTTACAAGTTTTTAAATAGCAAGTAAATGAATTTTTGGAGCAAAAGCATTGTCAGCAAAAATTGTAAATTTTATATTTATAAATTTATTATAAAGTTGCCGATTTACAGCTTATATATTGTGATATTATTCCTTGCTATTAATTTGAAAGCTTGTAATATTTCTCTTAGTACATTTTATACATATCTGTTGGATTATAAATTATAATTTAACAATTATGTAACAATTACATTTATTGTTGAAAACTATTCTAATGTCACAATTATCCCGATTGAATTTATATCGATTTTCTCTGATCTTGTAAAATACGCAAATGTAATAATAATATTAATAATTCAGCGAGTATATCGAATCATAATGAAATAAAAAAAAAAAAACTGACAATGAAAGAAAACGGATTGCATCAGAAATCGAAACTATAATGATTCACCGAATTTAAGAGTTTCATACTACAAATAGGTTCATGTTTTTATAGTTGCACATAAAAAGTTAGGAAACATTTTGCCGTATATCAATTTTATATATACTGACTACCTAATTTGATTTGTTTCGATCTCTGATTCTCTGAATTAGATGGTTCTCGTTAGGGACGTGATAAAATGTAACATGATATATACATCGATTTATTTCAAGAAATATACACATTTTGCGTTATTTATTAATCGATTCGATCAATAAATTGCTTTCAATTTTAAATAACAACTGATTGAGAGAATTTTAATTCTTTTTTGTAAGCGGTGGAGCTACAACACATCATGGTCGCTTGACCCGCTTCTTCGACTGTGAGGTTATGTTTCACAAAACGTAACCTTAAAGTTGTTCAAGTCGCGCACGCAGAGTCACATGCTACTTTGGCAAAAAATAATTATCTAACAGAGATCATGGGCAAGAAAGACAAAGGAGGAGCTGGTAATTTAGGAAAATCCTTAATCAGGGATCGATTTGGATCGAAGAAAATTAAGAGGAACAACAATGAGCCGTCTATGGTAAAAACAATGAATTTATTTGAACTTCCTTGTAACCTTTTCGTACGAGTGCCACTTGTATCCTTGGCAAGCGTGGGCTGAATTGAAATTAATATTATAAAAGTATCTCATAAACGATGCAATTTGAAAATTTGCGTTCGTGTTTACATTTTTAATCATGTATTATGACAAACTTGTTCCGATGTTCATCGAAAACTTTACCAGATAAATCTGCTATCGATAATATATATTTGTTAATTACTAAGTCGTTGACAGTTGTTTTATATTGTATATAATTGTGAAAATATAAATTTTTTCTTTTCTCCCTTTTTACGTAGCTTCATACGACTGAGATGAATGACGGTTACGATTGGGGTCGACTCAACTTGCAGTCGGTTACAGAGGAGAGCTCATTTCAAGAGTTTCTGTCTACCGCTGAACTCGCAGGGACTGAGTTTAATGCGGAGAAATTAAATATTAAATTTGTCAATCCGAATAGTGGTGGCTTGCTCTCGAAGAACGAAAAGCAGAAAGTGTTGGAAACACAAGAAAGAAACAAGGGCCTCATTAAGATACCTAGAAGACCCAAATGGAACAGTTGCACAAACGCCCAGGAACTGCACACTCTTGAGAAAGAGGCGTTCTTGGAATGGAGACGCCATTTAGCCATGCTGCAAGAAGTCCAAGGATTGATATTGACACCTTACGAGAGAAATTTAGAGTTTTGGCGACAATTGTGGAGAGTCATAGAACATAGCGATGTGATTGTACAAATTGTAGATGCACGTAATCCATTGCTATTTCGCTGCGAAGATTTGGAGCGTTATGTTAAAGAGATAAATCCCGATAAATTAAATATGATTCTTCTCAACAAGGCGGACTTGTTAACGGACGAGCAGAGAGAGGCATGGGCAAAATATTTTACCGACATAAATGTGCAGGTGGCTTTTTTTTCAGCTACGTTAGCAGTAGAAAAACAGCGGATACAGGAAGAGGATGAAGAAAAAGAAGAAGATGATGAAGCAAGAGGTGAAAATGACGATGATCATTTTGATAAAAAGGATGAAGATAGTACCGACGAGTGGAACTCGGAATTTGCTTCAGAATCGGAATATGAAAGCGCGGAGGATAGTATCGTTGACAGTAATATATGTACTATACCTTATATAGAAAGTGATAATAATAAACAAATAGAAGCTCAATGTGCAATGGAGAACTTAAAAATTTCTACGACAGTCTCAGAAAAGAAAACAAAAAAAGTAGTTAATTCATCGAAATTATTAAACAGGAACGATCTTGTGGAGTTATTTAAAACAATTTATACCGATGATAAAACCTACACAAATGGAGTGACAACGATTGGTTTGGTAGGATATCCGAACGTTGGAAAAAGTTCCACCATCAATGCTCTACTCATGGACAAAAAAGTTTCTGTGTCCGCCACACCGGGCAAAACTAAGCACTTTCAAACGTTGTATTTAGACAAGAATTTATTATTATGTGACTGTCCAGGTTTGGTGATGCCAAGCTTTGTTTGTACAAAAGCGGAGATGATCTTGAATGGCATACTGTCGATCGATCAGATGCGAGATCATGTACCGGCAATTACGTTGCTGGCTACATTAATACCTAGGTATATTCTAGAGGACCTGTATGGCTTCATGTTACCTGCACCACCCGAGGGAGAAGACTCGAATCGCGTACCAACCGCAGAGGAACTTCTGAATGCGTATGGTTGTATGTAGTCTGTTTAAACTATATAACGTTCAAAAGTACTGAAATTAAAATGTAAAAGACCTGTGCTCTAATTGTATATTTATAATATCGCATTGTTGTACATATAAATTATTTTTGTTTACATTTACTTATAATAATTATAACGTATATTTCTATATAAATTGATATCATATTTTTTTTTTGCAGATAATAGAGGTTTTATGACGCAGAATGGTCAACCGGATAATCCACGTTCAGCCAGATACATTTTGAAAGATTTCGTTAACGGTAGATTGCTATACTGCGTTGCGCCGCCGACGTTCGACCAAGAGCGCTTTCACACATTCCCGCCGCGACGTCGCAATATATCTGCGAACAGACATGTACCACCCCGAACGATTCGCGTAAACGAGGGATGTCGGACAACGACCAAAGACGTGGATCGAAATTTCTTCCAGGACAAACATGATATCAAACCTAGACCTGTAAAACTGCAAAACTCTACAAAGTAATCAGTCAAAATGTTGGCTTTATTTAAACAGTCACTCATAATATTGCGATAATAATCATATGACCTATTAAAATGTTTGAATTCTAATCGAGTGACTCTTTTGTCATACATGATTGAAGTATATGTACATTATATGTATAATTAGAACGTCTCATATTTTTATATATAAAATTCACTTAACTGGTACAATTAATTTTCAGGCACGCGGGATCAACGGTTAGTTTGACAGAATCGATCGACGATCATTCGGACAGAATCAAAAAACCATGGAAAATAGTGAATAAACACGTTAATAAGAATAAACGTGAAAAGGCCCGAAGGTTATATGCTCATCTTGACCAACATTGAATACAAAATGTGCAAAAAAAATCATTGTTTTGTATTTTTTTAATCTATAACAGCTATGCGATATAGCTGTATCATTGTATATGTAGATATATATATATATATGTATAACAACTCTGCAACATTCAAATATACATATATTCGTATGTTGCAGATTTATATTCAGATGTAATTGTGCATGATACGTGTATATATATGCTAAAATATTAGTGTTTTATATTTTATTCTCTGCATTTACTCTTTATTCTCAATCTCCTTTCATTCCAATATCTATTGAGATATCCAGTTCTCAATATCTTTTCGTTTTACGTTTAAAAATTCATGTTCTACAGACCGTGTTTAATCATGACATGATGTGAATCTTGTAATCAACTACAATATCAACTTTAACAGCGGACCATATCAGTTAGATTCCATGGGAATAACCGTTAAGTAGGAAGCACAAGCGGATTTCTCCGTTCGAGTCACACAATTTAGTCCACTCAATTCGGTGGATAAATATACATATATATACGCGCAGTAAATAATACATAATTTAACTTCCTTATAAATAAATTTTAAATTCGACGAACACCAAATTCCTGATAATTTACGTGTCGGCGACGGATTTTCAGTAAAATAATACAGTGTGTAATATTGTTCTTGCAAACTTGGACTCAAATTCGTGGAGTAGTTCATCTATATCATTGTCTAAGTCTTCGCTATTCGCCAACTAAAACACAAAGAGAACATTTATATATTGTAAAATTGAAATATGCAATCAAAATGTAAAAAAATATGTAAAAATATATATATAATACCACTGTCACTAGTTCGCATATAAGAAACGATCCTACTGTAGCCTCTTCGTGATTATCCTGAATGTCGATATTGATCAGATGCACAGGCTGATTATCTTCTTTAGTTCTAGATTCCATACATTCGATTACTTGATCATACACTCGTTCTTCACACGTAATTAGAATATCGAACTTATCCTTGGACAATTGAAACCGTTCCGGCCTAGGCTTTATCCGACGGTTCCGATCTAACATATGTAGTAGACCATTTTGCGTATAACTGTATTAATCGTTAAGGGATAAATATTATACAAGAACATAGCACTAGACAGAGAGGAAACATTATTTATTTAGATTTAATCAATAACTCTGTAGTGGAATATTACAAAAATAACAAATAAAATAGATTTATATTTTTAATATTTTATATATATATATTAGAAAAATATCGAGAAGTTTATTTGTATGCAAAGGATACTATTGCTTGTCTTTCATCAATAGATCATTGTAAATCTCATCATACGAAGTTCCAAAGTCGTAGATGTTGGGGCGATCTGGTGCAGTACCTGGTAGTTTGACCTTGTCTCCTGTCCCAAATGATTTCACATTAAATCCCTTTTTGCTGAAACAATCAATATTCTCAAATGATACTCTGCATTTATCGTGCAACAACCTTCATTTCAACTATTAAATACTAGAATTTCCTGGAAACTTTTTCAAGAAAAGTTCTTTGATCTTGTCGAAGACTCAAAGCAGTCAAAGCAAATTTACGTCTCGCTACAGAATATTTCAGGAGACATTTATACAATCTTAGAAAAGAAAATTGTACTTTGCAAAAGAATTAAGTACACGGAGGCTATAATTGTTGGATTAATTGGATTTTAACAGGTTAATCATCGCGAGTTGACTGCACGACCCGGTTACCTTAGAAACGCGTGCGCCTCCATACTCCTGTTCATGTTACTGGAGCATATTACGGCTACGCTGATGGAATTTGGAGCCGGCATCCTTCCGCGCGTTCTATCAACGATAACGTAAAAGCCGTGATAGAGTCGTGTTATGTATTGTCTAATCCAAAGATAATCTCACGTTTGAAGGTTATGTTGAAAAGTTACAAAGGATGCATCTGATACGCGACGTACAAATTTTTTGTGTGAGTGTAATTTATTCTCTTTTATCTGAATCGGAGCGTAATGGAGGCGCAGTGCAGCCCGAGCGAACGTTAATCGTTCCCCACGGCGAGATAAAATACTTCTACCGGTTAGAAGTAATTACGGAAATCCTAAACCGCAGTCACGATCCACGATCTCTCAGAAGTCTCAGGATTTTTTGCTCCGTCGATAGAGACGATAAACATATATTCTTTGGCGTCATCTGTCAACAAATATTCTAATTAATATATATATACATATGTGACATCGTAGCTGATGCTGAAAAGATCCGTTACCGACAATACGCTGAAGATAAAGAAACTGCACTTCTTTCCGCTTTATCAGCCGCGGTGTATAGACATGTCGTTCGTTAACGACATCTATGAATAAGTACAGGTACACGATGCACAACTGAAACGAACTCTTCTTCAGTGACAAAGAAACACCTTCCGAATCTTCCGAATAAATCAGCTGTCTGCAATGGTCTTATAAAATGCGCTGTTACGTTTAGATTGATCAATCCATGGATATTTAATTTATCGATATAACAACAAGATAAAATAAGTATTAATTATGCGTCTATATAATACATTATAAAACGAATATTTAATTAATTATTATTTTACGAGTAAAATTTTCCCTTTCCTTGATGTGCATCTTTGAGACAATTATATAGTAGGTATATGAAATATGTTAAATCTCTTCAAATAGCGAGTCTTCTATCACGTAATCACTATTGATATATGTATGTATGTATAATATACATATCAATATATCTAATGATGATTATTGGTGCGACAATTATCAGTGGTCACTGCAGGTTACTGACTTTCCAAAACAGTCACGTGGTCCACGTTTAGTTCAAACTTCAAGCGGTATATGTAAATGTAATTTGAAGGTACGTTTGGTTTGGACGCACACGCGGACGGAAGTTCTTCGAAAAGTATTTCATCTTATCGCGTGAACGAGATTCTTCGAAAAGTGCTTCGTGTCCATAAATGTGCTCATTCATCGTACTGTTCGCTGAGAAACAACGCGGTCATTCGGAAAGCGCCCAAAGTCTCTGCATCCTGGTGAGTAAAGTTGACGTGTGTATTTGCCGATGAGGTAAGAGGTTATATGCATTCGCCGCGTTTGTTGTGTGTGCTTTAATTACTTTTCAAATGCCATCCTCAGTCCTCACTAAGTTTAATTCCCGAGATTTGACAAAAAGTGATTATCGATATAATATTGAATAATAATCGCATTGATATATATATGGAAATGAGATATTTGATAAAAATATACAAATATATTAGACAATGTAAAACGACGTTTACAAGATAGCTGCAGTTTAAATGACGAGAAACTATATATAACAGATTGTCTATTGTGTACTACATCAAGATTGAGAAGAATTTTTAAGGTTAATTTTTTACGAACGATTTACGAGAATTTAAGCTGTTGAATCGGCTTTAGGTTTGCATCGTTCTACAAATCGCATGCGAAATTCGCGTTCTCGAGTCGGGCGAAGAATTAAAAAGGTCGTCATTATATTGCATAATGCCGCAATGGTCGCGGATTTGTTACAAAATCGCGAAATAATGACTAGCGCCGCGCGCGCGTATACCTCGTCGGGATACAGCGGACGCGACGCGACTCGGGACGCTCGATGAAGATTGCGTGCCTACTATCTCAGACTCACCAGGGGCCTGAATTAAGGCGGGGCCCCCTGAATTAAGGCTTCGACGAGACTTCAATTTCGCGCTCGATGATTCTCCTAAGACTATAATGCTCGGTGTCGCGATCATCCGAAAGAGAACCCGATACCCCGAAAGTCCTCGAACGGATTCGGTGAGCGTTTCGAGGGAATCGTTATCGAGATGATATACAGATGAGTTAAAATCGCATAATAACACGATTGTGTTGTATTATACTCACATCACTCTGCCTCCCCGCCCTCTCAATTCTCCGCCGCAATAATTTCTTTTACAACACCGATTCATCAGTTTCGATTTTTTTTCTATTGAGAAAAAGTCAACTTTTGTATTTATAGCTTCCCAAATTATTATATATATAATTATATGTAATGAATAAAAATGAGAAACTTTTGGTAAATTAAACCTTAAAAAAGAGAGTAAGTATAAGGAGATTATATTTATTAATATATTTCAAATCAATTTCCTTTAAACAGAAACTTGATGTTAAGTTGATATTTTGTTGCAAAGTTGTCACAATGTTTGCTATTTGTTTCAAAGTGATCGGAATTGTTATAAATTGTCAAAGAAAGTATTACGAAATTACTTTCTATATTTTTCTGTTTCTTAAGATTCTTCGCAATGTAAGGAATATATATGTTCTATTGTTTTAAACTTTTTAAAGATATACATATAACATTATTTGAGAAAACAAAAATTTCGATCTGTAGAGTTTCCACAATTTTTCTCACATCATCATTTGATACGGAATTATTAAAAAATGGATCGCGCGAATTTTGTCGGCGTGAATCGATGGTATTGATAAAATAAACGCGTCAAGTAAGTTTAGCTACTCGCAGCATTCGTATACGCTCCGATTCCGCGAATCATCGGTGAGTACACGTGCACCGCAACTTGTACGTACAAACGAATCAACGATGAACGAAACCAATTTAGATCCATGGCTCGTCTCTTTGTACTGACCATAATGGCGCGTGTTATGTGCTTCGCTGCACCTCGCATAGTGATTGCTTTACTCAGTCCACTTAGATGGAAATATTTTCCGGCGATTGTAACGTTGCGTATCGATGATTGTCGGTAGGCTTTTCGAACTACACTAAATATGAAAGATGATACGATATTTTGCAATACATTTTTTACGTCTTGCACACGGATTATTATTATTATAATTTACTAATTTTATAGTTACATTGCAGTATATAATGCCATACGCATAAATAATGTAAAATATAATATGGTTTAATTTTTTAAAATAAAAATCGATAATCGTAAGAACTAAATTACTGAAATCTATATAGATTGCATTATAACAATATTAAAATAATGATTAGATAATATTTGATTTTAATTGTTCATTTTAACTCTTCATTTAGAGTCTTACTTCTTAAATCGAACATTTCTCCCTCGTGTGTGATAACGTATCTTCTCGTTCAGCGAACGCAAAAATAAATAACAGAGAACTGCTAAGTATAGACTGTGCAATCGATTGTTCGTGCAAACAGTGTCTCGCACGATAGTCGTAAATTATGTTCTACGTGCTCGACGCCAAAAATGCACAGCCGGATAGGCTTTAACTTAACTCATGGATATTAATGACGAGTACTCCGCGACCATGAGAGCCCATCTAACTGACGTCCGACGAGATATTATATGCATAAACGAATAACCAAAAGTTACCCTTACGTGATGCAACGCTTATTAAATTATTCCTTCTTTCCTGAGTATGTTTCATGTTCTGAATATCAATGTTACGCGTCGTGTCTATGCTGGTAAATCACGCCTATCTGTCTCCGTGTCGATCTTTGCTAAATTCGCCGATGCCAAACTCGCAGAAATAACTGTACGATGTCATTTAGCATCAAAAATCAAGTAGAACGAGACAAAATTGAATTAGTCCCAGACATAATCGATTTGTTTATTTTCTGATTAAACTTGGAAATTTTTAATCATGTAAAGAAATATCTTGCAGTTTTAATTATTTATGTGCATCAATAAGTCAAGCATAGTAATCAAAATTCACATTCACTCACACACACACACACACACATTTCTTATAAATTTTCGTTGATATTTTTCGTAGAATTAAAAAGAATCGTGCAAATTTTAACAATCGAATGACAAAATAATTAAAAATAACTCTCATTCCTTTTTTTAGCTCATTTGTAGCTTTGACTTATTATAAATTTTTTTACTGTCACAATATTACGAGGACTTTATAAATCATGAGGCAATAATAAATAGACTGCACACTTCTCCATTATTAATCTCAAGTTAGCTAATCTCTTGTTAAGACTCATAATGAGAGTTAATAAATCGTAGTTAAAAAGAAGATCGCCATCTTTCGCACCTGAACCGCATTAATCACAGATTGGCCAATCTTATATCGCAGCGGCCGATTCTGTGAAAGTCGGGAAGTCGCGACCGGTAGAGCGGAAACGACGACTCTTCTGCGGAGAGAGGACGCGACGCGATTGCAAGAGATCCCTCATATACCGGAACTTGATGAAATTTCTTCAGCCGCGCGGAATCGAAAGCTGTCGTTTCCAACTCAATAACTGAAGTTTCCGCATATCGAAAGTTAGGGAAATATAGGCGATTCAGAAATCTGATATAAGAGAAGCCTATCTCGCCTAATTGAATTTATATCCGACTTTTGTACAATATTATTGATTTAATTGATTTACTTTTTTTTCTCAAAAAATTTTCTTCCTAAAAAATACATTTTTTAAATTTTCAAGAATTTGGGTATAAATTTTAAAATAATGTGTCAATTAAATTGTAAATTATTTTTTTTGCAAACACGCGTGATGCTGGATCTTTCTCTAAGATTTTCGACGTATTAGTAAAGGGTTCACCACACTTTTCGCGTCGCGAAAGCGCGAGTGAATGTACAAAGGTCATTAAAACGGTTCGCGATTCGCGTCACGACTTGTCCTCGATCGGTATGCAAGCATCGAGTATTTCGCACCGCGAGTTAGCTTCGACATTGAGGCAGCTAGACGCCTCGAAAGCGAATCTCAAAGGTTGCCAGACAAACTCTGTTGCCTGCAGCGTTTTCTAATCTGCACGATTGCGTCTGCTCTGAAATTTACTTCACTGCAATTAGTAAAAGCGACAGTAATATGGTTATTGGTACTACTTTGTTCTCAAATAGCGAAAGCCGAAAGTAATTTGTTAAACGACAGAGAATATCATTTATTATTCACGAAAATGTTTGTGCGTGAGTTTATTTCGCGCAATGAAAATCCCAAGTTTGTGTGTGTACGTGTCTCCTAATTGCTACTCCGTACAACTTGTACTAACTTGTTATTATGCCATCATGCAATCGACATTGACCGCAATGACTATAAATGTTGCTTTTGGTTAATTCTGATGTACTGGAAATTGCCTACAATTTGTATCGTAATATTCGATATTGATTTCGTCATTAGTCCAAGTTTCCATTAATTTCTATTAATCATTTTATTATTGGTCTGCCTTGTGATTAACGCGATGCGAATTTTG